ACACAAATTTAACAATGCAATGATTGCCCACAAACCCAACAATAACCACAAACCCAACAATAAAGCATGTGGTCGCGTAATTTACAATATTAAAATAAAATTAAGTCCAATAAGTTTAGATAAATGTACATGTTGTAAATATAGTGAGTATGTGATAAGTTCATGACAGTGATTGTAAATTTGTAATTATAAATTTGTAAGTGGGTTGTGGGCATATGCCACCTTACATGGAAAACAATATATTGAAGATATATAGCGGGTGTCACGTTCTGATCGAGTTATCAGCTGTCACACACTATAATTTCATACAAGTCAACTTATCGAAACTAAAAAAACAAAAATTGTGAACTTCTTTTCGACTTATTCGATAAGATATCAAGAGGTGATATCCAAGATTTGAGATCGATCGAGTCTACTCTCACACAAAACGATGAAAAAATAGAGACAATGAACCCACATGTGTGGGTATGGAAAGAGTCATGGGACTGATCAAAAGGGGGAGGGGGTTGGCATGGGTCAGCCACCACAAACTCAACTCAATTCATGCAATTAAAAAGGAATCTAATCTAACCTAAAAAATCCATTTTCTCTCTTTTTTTTTTAAATTTTCTACTTTAATATTAAAAATAATAAAATCAAATAAAAATAAAAATAATAAAATTTTGTTGGCATTAAAGAAGTGGGGAAGGAAGAAGATTGAGAAATGAAAGGAAGAGACACGAGTATCTTATGGTGGGACTTAAACATTGTCGCTATGTTTATCACTACACTTCAACTCTCTTTCTGACATTACCCATTGTTCTTTCGCTCTCTCACAACCTATCTTTGCTAGCCCATCAATGCCATTACCTTTTCTTTTTTAACAAAAAAAAAAAAATTATTAATTTTTTAAAAATAATGTATGTTGCCAATAATTATTGAAATTAACGGTGTTAGTAGATACATTGGATCCAACTTTTTGAGGTCAAACATAAAAACATTGGACACAACTAACGTAACTTGATCAATTATTTTGTTTTGAGATCCATGTAATTCCTTCGTTTTCAAAAGTTTTTTCTTTTTAAATAGTGAAGCAATGATTGTCTCGTAAAAAAGTCATATTAATTATGAAAAACGTATGTATATGTAACTCTTAATTATTTAATAACTCTTTTTTTTTTTTTGGTCCCAGCTCTAGTGAAAAAAACCTAGCTAATTCATAATCCCATGCTAGATTTCTAATTAACTTTAATCTTTTGGTTTCATCATATTAGTATTTCATATAATCTTTAACAATAGAGTATATTGATAAATTGTAATTTCAAAATTAGTTTTGGTTTGCTTTGGCTGATTATAGACAAAGATTTGACATTTGATTTGATGAATTTGCATAAATAATCTTCATCAATTAATAAACTTTTACTAGGCTAATAAGAAAAAGGTATTCGACTAGTAATTGTTCTAAATTGTAGAACAATTATTAATAACAAAAATAAATTCAAACATAAACTTTTAACAAGTAAAATATATTTGGAAAATTATTTTAATTTTGTATTTAGATGAAATTTTAAATTTTATAAAATTGGTCTTTTTTTTCACAAAGTTTCATGCTCCCTTCGTCCCACAATACTAGTGACGTTGGGGTGGACATGTAGTTTAAGGAAACTACAAGTATGTCCATTTAAAACATTTGTTTATTATATAAAGGATTCTCTTTTGTGTTTTTATATTTTAAGAAAACAAAAGGTTATGGATGTGCCCATGTGAGGATAGTGAGGAGAAAGAAAATGTAGGATTTAATTGGATTTTGGGGTTTATTGTCCCAAAGAGTGTATAGGAAAATATTTTTTTATTAGTCGTCTCATTCCATATTTGATAACGTGTCTAGTATTTTGAGACGGGCGAAACTGTGTTAAATATTGTGGGATGGAGGGAGTATGTGGCTGGCCACACCGTTTGGCCTAGGTTTCTTATTCAAGGATTACTTGGTCAGTTAGGGGTTGCTCGGTTAGTCGAACATTACTCGATCAGGGGTTATTCGATCGATCAGAGGTAACTTGATCAGGAATTACTCAATCAGGGGGTAGTCGGATCGGTTAGAGATTACCTGTTTAGTGTTTTGATGTTTGTTAGCCGGCCATTATTGTGACCAACTACACAGATTATGCTTTTTTTTTCCCTTTTTTTTAAAAAAATAAATAAATTAATTAAGATGACCTAGATAGAAACCAAATCATGGAGGAAAAAGAGGGGAAGATCGGTCAGGCGTGTGAAAACCAACACCAAAAATACAATTTGTAAATTTGCATCGTAATTCAGTCTTTTATAGCTTCCACAAAGTAAAAAGGGAAAAAAAAAATAATAAAAAAAAATTGCTTTAGTAACGATGTGTAGTTTCTTCTTTAATCATCTTTCAAAAAAACGTAAAAAGAAAAAAGGAAAGTCAAAGTTATTTGATTGATTAAAGCACTAAAACCAAAAATTCTTTTCACTTAATATAAAGTGGAGTACTAATTTCCACAAAGTAAAAGAAAATGCTTATTATTCTAATCAAAATAATTATATAATGCACTTGTGTTCATAAAAAGACCATGTAATCATTAATGTGTGTACAATTCATTTAGGTGTGAGGTTGGGTGAGTTTGGTGCATGTAATGCTCACATAGTCACATTAACCACATGCATAAAATGTATCGTAGTATTGTCTTGGATAATGAGGTAATCCTTCAATTAGTATATAATTAACAATTTACTATGATTAAAAATTTATCGGATGAAATTATAAATAAATTCATTTTAAATGAAATTTGTTCCTTCTACTCATTAAGGCACTATTCCCTTTTCTTTACATAAGTCATTAAACTCCGAGGCATTACATATGATATAACAAATTTTTGTATGCAGCATGTTGTACCGTGCAACAGGAGTTACTCGAGTTGCCGGGATTATACGAATTGCCAGGGTTACCCGAGTTGCCTTTTGAGTAATCCATGACCAAACCCCTGACCAAGTAAACATTTAAGTAACCCCTGACTGAACCCTCAAGTAACCCCTAACCGATTAACCCTTGACCGAACTCTTTAAGTAACCCCCGACCGAATTATATTACTAACTGGGTAACTCGAGTAACCCTTGATCGAGTAACTTGACTAAACCCTAAACGAGTAGCCCCTCAACTCCTCAAGTAAGTAACATTTGACCGAGTGAACTCTTCGAGTAACCCCTGTTCGAACCCCTCAAGTAACCCCTAATCGAGTAACTTGAGTAACCCCCAATTGAATAACTCGAGTAACCCCTAACAAAATAACTCGGGTAACCCCTGCCATACGATGTGGCCTGTTATACAAAAAGTTGTTGTACACATGATCTAATTTTATAAACCCGCAATCTCTAATGTATGCATACAACTTATTGTTTATTTATTTATTTATTTTACAATGTTTTATTTATTTTACTTTATTACACTAGCTTATTACCTAAAATTATATGATATACAGTACTACGCATTTACTGCGTAAATAGATAATATAATTTTGTCATATGAAAAAAAAAACCCAAAACCTGGCAATTAGGTCATTCAAAGTCGGGTCATTTTGGGTGAGCTAACATTCGGGTCAGGTAAAGGTTAGGTCGGGTCAATTCAAGTTTCAGGTCTGACTCGGGTCAAGTATTAGGTCAAGTTCAGGTCAGGTCAGGTATGTTCGGGTCAAACTATTTTCGAGCCAGGTCGAGTATGTTCGGGCCATATTTGGGTACATTTTGAGATGAACGAATTAAGTTATTTTTGGCATCAGACACTTTTAGTTTAGTTATAAGCTAATTTTAGTTTAGGACGTTTTGGGTGTTAGGTCTATACGGATCAGCACTTCGAATCAACTTTAGATCAAGTCAATTTCAAGTGTTGGGTCAGCTTCGAGTCGGGTACAATCGGTTTGGATCAGTTTGGGTGTCGGGTCAAGATTGGGTCAACTCCATTTTAGGGTCGAAAATGGGTAAGGTTGGGTTGATTTTGGGATTTGGGTTGATTTCAGGTCATGAGTCGGGTCATCAAGTCAGGGTTATAATTTTCCATATACTTACAATGTATCACCAATTATGGAGTATAAATTTGTTTCTCACAAATCTTATATTATTAATTTCCAAATAAAAGTAATCTTATTTCATGCAATTATCTAAAACATTGCTTATATATTACTAAGTATAAAGGAGTTCATGCATATACATAGTTAAGCGCTATTTATGCCTAATAAAAAAAAATAAAAAAAAACTCTATAACTGCAGTTAATTAAAGATATTAAGCATATAAGAGCACTTTAGGGCTTGTTCTCTTCAGCTTATTTCCAGTTCAGTTTAGTTCAATTCTTAATTTTCTTCTCTCATAATATAATTAGTTCAATTCAGCTCGGTCAATCAGAATAGGCCCTTAGACTTGTTAAAGCACATTTATGAGAACTAACAAAAACAAGGTAGATATAAGCTACAATAACTACATTAGCTATAGAAAAGCATAACATCTACTAAGAGCAATAAAGGCTTATTTATTTCATCTTATTTTTGCTTATATGAACTTATATGATCTAATCTGATTGTCAAGTTTGACCAAAATTTGATCTTAAGTGTACGATGATTTATAAGAATAAAATCTATCAAGTGGGGTCTTATTAGATTCACAATAATGTGTATTTTATTAATATGTAATTTTCATAATTTTTTCATTATGAAATTAAAGATATATAGCAATAAAAAAAAACACATAAAATAATGATTTAATCAAATTTTTTTTTTCCCTGATATGAACTTATTTTTTATAATCTAATATGACCTAAACTTATTTTTTCTGAAATAAGTACAAATAAGTTAAACTAAACAAGACCTAAATTAGGGGATCCAATTAGCACAATCAGGTCTTCATGCTATTTCAAGTACTACCTTTCGTCTCTAAGAACTCTCCATAATTTTTAATGATTGTTGTCTCACAAAAAATCAAATTAGAAATGCTCCTTATCATATCATTTAGAGCTGAAATTGTTATAAATTTATAAAAAATAAAAAGCTCAAATAAGTAAAATTCAGATGAAAAGAACACGCTCTGGATAATGCTAGTAAGGAGTACGAGTAGTAAAATAATTTTATCCAAAATTGGTGATCCCCAAAACCACATGCCTATGTTGGTATACTACTTTATTCCCTTCTTATCTTCTCCATAAGTGGCAAAGAAAATGAGATAACCCCACTCCCCTTCTCTCTGTCTTCCTCTTCCTCATTATTTCTCATTACCTTAACTTTATTTTTTTTTCTTTCTCCCCAAAAAAAAAAAAAAAAAAAAAAAAAAAAAAAAAAAAAAAAAAAAAAACAGCTTTCCCCACCAATTATTTTCCTAATCCCAATACTCCTAGTGTGTTATTCTACTATCACTACCAAATTTAGCATCACTAGATCTACCACGTTTTTTTCTACACTCATTTATTTTGCCCTATTTTCCCCTCTTTTCTTACTAACAACCCAAAAATGGCACACCCTAATATCAGCACAAAATTAGAAGATGAATCAGAAGAAGATGACCAAGAAATCGGGTTGCGAAACCCGATTTCACTCGATTTAAACCTTAGTTTTGATCCAAACAATGAATCAAGTCACTCAAACAGCGGCGGCGGTGACGATAGAGTTACAGGGGAAGAGATTTTACCACCAAATAACAGTAGAGTATTCTCATGTAACTACTGTAGAAGGAAATTCTTTAGCTCACAGGCACTTGGTGGTCACCAAAATGCCCATAAAAGGGAGAGAACTATTGCTAAACGCGCTATGCGAATAGGTGCTTTGGCTGACAGACATGTTAGTTTAGCCTCTCTCCCTCTACATGGTTCTTTGTCATCATCCCCTAGTTCATTCCAGACTCGTCCATCGATTGACATTCAAGCTCATCACGGATCTATGATGATGATGATGCACCCGCATCTCCAACCATCGTCGACTACGACGGTCCAGCATCAAAGCCACTACAACGGTTACGCTCATATTCTTCATCATTCTGAGGAGAGGTTGCCACCTCATCACGGCGGAGGTGGTGATCCCGCCGCCAAGTTTGAAGGGCAAAATGGGTATTTACTTGGTGGTGTTCCGGTGTTCAGTGCGGTGCCGTTTTGGCCCGGAAGTTTCAGGCAGGTTGATGATGAGGCTGAAAGTTCTTCAGCTATTACAAGTATTTCTAATAATAATAAAAATAGTGATACTACTATTACTATTACTACTACTACTAATAATAATATTAGTAGTAACAATTGTTATAATTATAGTTATAATCAGCTTGAGTTCCCAGATTCTTGTCCTGATCTTACATTGAGGCTTTGATGAATTATAATTATAATTATAATTATTATTATTATTTTGGGTTTTTGTTCTTTCTTTTGATTATATTCTTCTTTTTATGTTGGTTAATTAGAATTTTTTTAATGAGAATTGTTAATTGTTCAGAATTTTGTACAGGAGATATAGCACAAATGATCATTATTTGTCCAATGATGACTCTTTTTGCAGTGTTATGACCAATAATCATAATTTGTATTGTTTTGAGTTAAAAACATGTATGTATTGTTCTATTTGGTGAATTATCCTATCAACAAAAGTATTATTTGTATGGTTGTATTTGTGTATTCCAACCCACACTTATCCGATCCATACCCTATTACAAAATGACAATTAAACCGGGTAGTAAGCGTTTGTGCAACTTTGAGCACGATCGATCAATCATTGTTGATGGTTTGATTTAAAGGTGTTCAGTCATAATCAAGCTCACGCACGGTAATTTCATATGATTAACTCACTTCTCGATCTTTTTGAAATTAAATTCGAGGTTTTATATGTTAAATGAATTCTGTTTTCAAAAGTCAAAGTCAAGCTTATACTTAGTACATGTATATATTCATTGATTGTTGATTGTTGCTTGTTGCTTGTTGCTTGTTGCTGTTGGTAGCCAATCACAAGTGTGAACTTGATGAATTGGATGTTTATACTATTGGATGCCATATGATATATGCAAGATTGTAAGTATACTTTTTTGTTGTTTTTTTAATAAAAAAAAATTGTTTTTCTTTGATTTGTTTCATGTGAATTGCTGATTTTGCTTTCAAACTATAGATTTTTTTTAACATATTTTTTGAGCAACTAACTACTCTGGTTATAAATTATCCTTTTAAATGATCCTTTTGAGGAATGAGGACCATATTGAGTCTTATGTCAAATTAGGTATAGATAGTCATCATGGAGGGCCAGGTGACTCATGGAAGCTTTTCATTATTATTTCTTTTGGTATCCAATATGATTTTCCTAATATTTATTATGATTTCCGTTTCTTTTTGTTTGTCGTATTTGAAATTTTGATAGATTTTAATGTAAATGAAATTTAATACTCATATTTCAATGATATCTATACTTCAAAATTCAAAGCATAGTCATGTGGAATAATATTAATAAATTTATTTTGTATTTAAATTTTTAAACATTTAAGTTTTAGTCATATGTAGCTTAAAATTTTGTTACTATTCCACTATATTGCATTGAAATTGTGCTAAAAAAATGGGACCCAAAAAATTAAAATAAAAGAAGGCGGTATTGCTTTCATGTATACTTATATGTTATTGGGTCCATTATATATAGGAGGATACAGTTTAGACTATCAAAAACAGATAGTGATAGAGCTACAATACATTAATTATAATAATACTAATTTGCATTACTATGTTTAAATATAATATTTTTTTTGTTTCTTCAACGCTTCTTATTTCATGTTTGTCAACACATAATTGCAATCATAATTATATTTAATCGTCAATAATTAGAAATTTATAAAAATTGTATATTATTGAGGCATAAAGTCATAAACTAAGGCCCTATTCACTTTATCTTAAAAAAATAATATTAAGTAAAAACAATTTCAGTTCAGTAAAAATAATTTCAGTTCAGTAAACTTCAATTCAGTTTTCTTAAAGAAGAATAATAATAGAAAATCAGTAAAAATAATTTCAGTTCAGCAAAAATAATTTCAGTTCAGTAAAATTAATTTAAGTTCAGTAAAAATAATTTAAGTTCGGCAAATATAATTTTGTTTCAGTAAAAATAATTTCAGTTCAGCAAAAATAAAGTGAAGTGAATGGGGCCTAAGACAATGTTCATCACTTCATCTTAATTTTTTTTAAAGTAAAAATAGTTTAAATTCAATAAATATAATTTTACTTCAGTAAAAATAAGTTTATTTTAATAAAATTCAATAACTTTAAAGAAGAAATTTAATACAGTAGAAAATCAGCAAAAATAATTTCTGTTCGACAAAAATAATTTTAGTTTAGTAAAAGTAATTTAAGTTCAGCAAAATAAATTAAATCCAGTCTAAATAATTTCAGTTAAGCAAAAAATAAGGTGTAGTGAACGGGGGCGTAATAAGAATCTAACAAATTCTCACATGACTATGTTTTCAATCAATAAAATCGATCAAACTAGTAATGTATGTGAATATTGTAAAAGAGGGGAAAAGTATATTTTAAAGAGATCAAGATAATTAATTTTGAAAAAAGGAAATACTGAATGAATTATAGATTGCAAATTATGAGTTTTACTAATTATTTTTCTTCTTTTTATCTAAGGGGGGCTATATAGTATATATTGACCTATTGTGATATAATCTTGTGTATTATTGCTTCTCTGGTCCATGAAATTGTGTTATTTGTAGTGCCAACTGAGTCAAATGGAGCATTTGTATGTTATTTTTGTGTGTGTGTTTTTTCTTTTTAAGTAATTTTTTTTGGTCATATTTTTACTTAATTATCTAGTATCATGAATTTTGATATATCCATTAAAATGTATACAAAATTATTTAAATGTAATTTTAGATTTTAAAAGTGGACGACGTACTCATGTTGAATAATATGTTTCTATTCAGATTATGAGCATGGATTTCAAATAATCGGACATGCTTTTTTTTATGTATCTGTAAATTATTATATACCGAACACATGTCACGTTTCCTATTATTCCATTTATGTATCCGTAAATTATTATATACCGAACACATGTCACGTTTCCTATTATTCTATTTGGTTATATTTATCAAAGATAGGAAATAGTAGTATCTATTGACTTGTATGTAAGTCGTTGATCTAGCTTGTTGGTTAGTCAAGTCAAGTCATTGGCATGCATTACGCACTTAATGTATGAAAATGATTGGATGAGGTATTGCTAGCTTAGAATGCTAGATGCTATTGGCAAGAAGTGTACTCCAATAAGGTATTTATGCTCATGCACTTGGTAATCTAGGGTATGTCCTTTAAAAATTTTGACTTTGAAAATTTAATTCTATGTCATTTTATGTCCTAGCATATAAAATATTTCAAAGAATTAATCTAGGTAACAGTATCTTTGTAGTCCATTTTCATACCCTTGATTGGCCTTGATGATAGGGGGAAAAAAAAGAGTTTGTATAATGGAATATTGTAGATTGTATACTACTATTATTAAAAATTTGGTCTCTTAATCTTAAAAAAAATGTCCATTAGTTACTTCTTATATATGTCACTTATTATTTTCTCCTTTGCTTATCTAGGAAAACTTTGTCACATATTCTCATTAATCTACTTTATATATAAAAAATGATAATCATTTGAATAGTTAAACGTATTCTTGAAACTCGTAAAAATAAATATGGTAAACATTATATTAAGGGACAAAGGGAGTATGTGCGACGTATGCATACGTCTCGTGAATTACTACTTTAACTATGGGCCTGTGGGGGATGAGAGGGCTATATCAAAGGTGTTCAATGCTAATGGTTATATGTTGACAGATGTTTAGAGTTTAAATTATTTTTAATGTGGCTGCTAAAAAGTACATGAATGAACAAATAAAAGCATATTTTTAATATTGAATTCTCCCTAAAAAAATAAAAAATAAATAAATAAATAATACTGAGTTCTAAATAGTACTTATAATTCTGAATTTTTTTTTTTTTTTTTTTTTTTTTGAAACAATTATAATTATTATATTTTGATTAAGGGTTTGGAGGAAAAAAAAAAACCAAAAATGCGGTGAGCGTGGATCGAACACGCGACCTTCAGATCTTCAGTCTGACGCTCTCCCAACTGAGCTATCCCCGCTTGGGTGATTACACAACTTTAAATATAATAATGATTAGTTTAATGGAAAGTCAGTAATTTGGGTATTAACATGTTACTTTTCGCGATAACATCAATGCCAATCCTTGCATTTCATATTTCCTTTCACAATTTAAAATAAAGAAAATATAATAGTGAAGTAATTAATTTTGTTAGGAAGCTTCAGAAAAGCCATTTTCGTACAAAAACCCCAATTTCTATGAAATTTAAAAAAACAAATAATCATAATAAAAAATAAAAAAAAAATTGCTAAATGCCGTATGAACAAGGTCGTATTGCAATTGTAATGATACTATAATAAATTTTTTTGTACTATGTATTAATTGCACTTTACGCCTAAGAAAATAATGCAAAAAGATACTCGAGCTATTGATGAAAGTTTGAAATCCAATATAAACCTAATGCGATTAATATAAGTTCCGCTATTTGGATACAAGGGAAAATGAGTAAATTGAGAGAATTGAATTGGTCATATACCAATAGATAGATTCTCCGTTATTCTTTGAATACTTGCCAATGCACTTTTTATATCATTACTATTTTAAATTATAATTTAGTAAAAACTAGTATAAATCGTGTGCATGCATGGATAGTAGTAAGATCAACTTATTAACTAGTGTGTGGGTCGGACGATGCCCCGGGTTGCTAGTTTAATTTGTACTTGTTTAATTTGCTAATTAAATTTGACTGTTTGGATAGTAAGACTTGTTGGTTTTGAATTTAAATCTTGCTATAAACATTTTTTTAGTTGTCAAACCCAATCATTACATAATGGAAACAAATAGTATGATAAGACACGAATTAACTTATTTAAATTAACTATAATTTTGTTGGATAAAAAAAAAGGCTTGCTTTTAGAATTTATAGTACTAACATTAATTTTATAAGAAATTATTATGTATAATATTTTTGTTTTAAGAAATTTGATTTTACTTTATACATTTTCCTTATTCTTTGATTAGTAGAAATTTTATAAATTATTACTCTAGTTTATTGAAATATATAAAGGAAACTTTAGATTTGTTGTAATATAAAAAGGAAATTTGTTGTAATATAAAAAGGGAATTTTTTGTTAATAATAGTTAATGAAATATTGTATACATACTTATCCATGAAAATTATAATTTAAGTTATAGTAAGATTTAGTAAAATAAATAAATAAATAAATAAAATAAAATTAGGCGGGAAATTATTTTACCACAAAATGACACGTGCCATTAAACGTCGCCTTTAGTATAGGTTTATTGAATTGATGATTGATTGATTGATTACAAACCGTTGATATTTTGAAGTATAAATTGAGATAAGTCATTAGTAAAGAAATACCACTATAATATTTCCAAAAAAAAAAAAAAAAAAAAAAAAAAAAATACCACTGTAATATTCCATTTGGAAGATTTGGTAAGAAATAAAGAACTTCAACTTCGTGTTTACTACTGTAATTCTCAACATTTCGCAGTATATGAGTCTACTTTGTGCACAGCACATACGAACACCCTGCTGCCTGATAGTAGAAATTACTAATTACAGGTATTCATCATTGTATTTTAAACTCGTAACTCCTAATATTTGTTCAAAAAGGGATCAGTAATGGAGTATTACTGGGAACATCGACTATATACAAAACTTCCACTTCACATCAGCAATCTTCATCTAAGATGGACTCGAGTATCCAGTGACCTGCTGCCATCATTCATCCTACTGATCCTCCCCTGCCAATAACCCCACGAGAAACAAATATCAGAAACAGACTTGCATGGTTAAAATTCAATTTATTATAGATTAGCAGCAGATACTATCATAAACACAGCATTAGTTAGTGTATGCTTTAGATACTTTCCCAATACTACATTGTACTCTAGCTCCGTTTTATGTCAAATAATACAGGTAGTAAAAACATCAGAAAACTACATCAAGGTTACAGAGATCAACAAACAATTCTCTATACACATGTTTGGATGAAGGAGTTTGACAGGAAGGAAATTGGAAGGATCAAGGAAAGGGAAGCCGCCCAAGAGAATCAGAGAAATTCAATCTTCTTCCTCCCTTCCCTGCTCTCACCTTCCTTCCCCATCCACCCTCTCCTAGACTCCTACCATTCTTTCCATAATTACTAACCAACCATGCTGTAAAAGAAATAAGAAAGGTTAACTTTTTGACTCAGGTTGGATGAAATGATTTCACATAACCAATTTATAACAATTCATTGATAACATTCATGTAGTGAACAGCAGATATTTCAAATTTACCTTTGAACGAATTGATGTCACTCCAACTTCAGTTTTTAACTTCAATTTGTGTACCTTAAGCTCTGAAACTCTTACAACAGGCTCGTTATCTTTGCCACCAGATCTTAGACTCAAAACTGCTTTTCCTCTCATGTTCTCCTTTCCACTGCTCACAGCTTTATCAAACCAGCTGCTCTGTACTTTAGCCTTGACACCTTGGGCTACATTTTTTGACCGATTCAAAGAATTTTTCTGAGTTGTTTGAAGTACAACCTGTATAAAATCATATATTAGCTTCAGTCAGCAAAAGAAATCCATACCATATGATAAGACCTATTTCCTTCCATTGAACTTAGGAGAATGGAAAATCTATAGTCACTCTGAACTCTGAATTCAAGTTTAGCGGATATCTCACCTTTGACTTAGAAGCTGCCAGGCTTCTAGATGCAGCAGCAGCATCTTTAACCTTCATCTTGGAGATGTCATCTTTACCCTTCATCTTGGAGCTGTCATCTTTACCCTTCATCTTGGAGCTGTAAGTACTTGTACAAACAGATGTCTCATTCATGTTTGTAGCTTTTACCCTCTCATTGACAGGTTTTGCCAATTTCCCCATGTCTCGAACGTTCGGATTTTTATATTTATTCTGTTTGAAACCAGCTGGCATTTTCTTAACCTCAAGCTTTGAATTTGAAAACCTTTGATTGGGCCTCCCATATGAAGTCTTCTGACCTTTTGATCCTATATTTATATTCATCTCTACTTTCACTTGCTTGCTGCGATCAGTTCTAGGAACTACTGCCAATCCAGTGCTAGAAGAGCCCACACTAGACTTGCCAGCAGAAGATTTACGACCATTAAGTTCTCTATCCTCACATATTTCAACCCTTGATGCTGGTCTTGTGGCACGACTTTTTCTCAGATTGTTTCTTAAAGCATTCAACAGACCACCAGTTTGACCAAATGGCTCTTTTGACACCTCAAAAACCTTTGAATCTCGTTGAATACTTACATTTGTTATGGTGCTTGTTGAAACTCCACTTGTACTTGCTGACTGAGAATTCAGAGCAACTCTTCTCTCTGAATAATTCACCACACTGGTGATTGAACTAGAAGCCTCACTTTGATGATCATGGCTCACTTTGGGTTTGAATTCCTGACTTGAAATGATATTAGTTGCTGAAATCGTACCTCCCAAATCATTTACAGGATGTTCTTTATTAGCTGAAATCTCACGACAATTGCTTATGCAGTCTTTACTTCTATAGTCTTTGCCTCTTGATTTCGAAACAGAAGATGGAAATTTTGGAGAGCATAAGTTGAAGAGATCATTCCCCACATCTGGATGTGCAAATGCAGATCTCAAATGGCGTGCAGAAAGATGATGGAACCTAACAACCAAGACAAACCCATAAACAAAATGCCTATCTGAATGGTTGGGTTTAAAGAAGTAATATAGGGCAGGTGCAAGTGTACTTACGGGTGGCTCGTGTGAAACCATTTATCATCACTGCAAAAGGCCAGGGAAATTACTTATAAGCTGATATCAAATGATACAAGTATGCAACTCAGTAGTCAATCCATCCCAACAAAATTGTCATAGTTAATTATTTGCCGGATTGCAGTCTGTAAGATGCATTTTCATCTTTGACTATTATTCATTTCATAATTCATATTACTTAATTTTTATTTTCTAACTAAACATACATAGAACAAACCCCTTTCACTTAATTACTTTAGGTAGAAGCTTTCCAAATTATGACAATTTTCAGGTATAGATGACTAAGTTAAGTTGAGTTATCATCATAGCTTTCCAAACTCTCATTTTCATCAGAAGACACGAATCCATCTATGACAGTTTTCTGGTATAGCTGGGACACATGGACTAAAACAGCAGCAAATCTGAATCAGAAGAAACTCACTTGTCTTCTGATATCAGCGCTGTCTCCAACGTAAGATCAGCCCACATGGGTGCCTCAATTTCTTCCTGTGAATTAGTACATACACAACAAAAGTTGAGGTATTACAACCCAAGAACTCTAAACCCACTTTATAAAATCTAATCTTCGCAACACATATACTTACTATGCAGGAACGTAGGATCACGTTATTCACATGATAATCAAAATTGAAGGGTTCCAATATGTTCACTAAATACTCCTTGTACATTATATACTCAAAACTTCATACATAATATCAATCAGCATATATACGGTTCAGAACACAGAATCTACTAGCATAGTAGCAGTATGTACAAGCAAAAATTTGAAAATACATGGCCCATTTCATTGTTTCATTATAATTTTTTAATGAAAAATTTCACTAGACTCAAACAACACAATAATACAATCATTAGTAAAAAGGACTTAAACCTAAGATTCTCACAAGTACATCTCAATCTAAATTAGATATGAAAAACTTCTAAAGTTCAACTACAATATAGCAGTGTCTACAGCATACTCATATACTGAATAATCCGAAATCGTTGAATGTGTCAACAAGCTTAGTTGGTAAAGCTCAAAGCAATCATGCCCGAAAACTCGAAACCCATGTTCAAAACCCATCTTCTTACACTTTTGTGCCTTATTTGGAACCCAATAGCATAATACACAGATACTCAATCACCCAAAAGTCTCAAATAATTAGGGTTTATTGAAATGAACCCCAAAATTTTGCATAATTTAGGAAAATTTAGGGTACATTGAGAAATACCCCAATTGCAAGAAATCCAATCTAAAGTAAAACCAGAAAAAACCCAATAAATGCGTATTCAATAAATTAATATGACATTAACAGAGATTATGCGACCTAAAATGATACATTCATATATTCTACAATTGTGATTACTGGGTTTTTTGCAGGAGCAAGTGGAATTACCAGAAAAGCCCAGTGATCGACATCTGCAATGCTTCTTCTCTTGGAAGCTCCGACACCATTTTCGCCATTTTCTTTAACCTTGATCTTACTCTGAACCATCATTTCTTTAATTTTTTTCAAAAAATCAGCAAAACCCAGAAATTATTTCATCTGATATGAGCCAAAAAATTCAGCAAAATCCAAGTAGTAATTAGGGTTACTCATATTTTTGAAAAATAAAATCAAATTTTCGTATGAAATGAGTAGGAGTGAGGTTGAATTGAGGACGAAGTAATGGAGGAAGAACTGAGGAAGTTGAATTGGGAAGATGGAAGGTCAAAGAAAAGGATAAAATATGAACCGTACGATGTAAACTTGATTGTACACGTGTAGGGTGAGGATGCTTTTATATTTGCTCGACCGTTGGACAATTCAATGAAATTCGAGGAGGGAAAAGTAGCTTCCTTAAGAAGCCAAATGATTTAACTCTTATGGGGTGTATGGTTCACAACTTCACAAAGTAGGTTTTTTTTTTAAGACGAAGGGGCCTACCGTGTCGAAACTCCTCACGGGTCAACCCAGCCCGGGTTGCATAGGGTAGTTCTTAGAAGAGAAAATACAAGTTATTATCCTATACGAAATATTGACAAAAGTTGTTAATCACAGGGTATAAATGTCGTTTTAGCGAGTTATGAAGGATAGTGTTATAAATTTACCAACAATAGATCTACAACCTTCAACATCGAAGGGCGATCGTCTGCATATCCAGATCTACAACCATCGCTCTTTATCACAAGTTCAAGGCGAACCACCGAAAACAATGTAATCTTAGCTTGTAGCTTAATATTTTTTTTTTTTTTTTGACAAGTGCTTGTAGCTTAATTTCAAGCTCAATTATGTCAAATTAAATCCCACAATGCTTCATTAGTAATTCCCTTAATTTAAATCTTTTTTTAGGGTGTTCTTTAAATTTTGCAGCGAAGTTGCCATCGTGCTGATAGATGTATCATGGAAGAAGAGAGTTGTAGACAACGTTCATGGAGAAAGAAGCAAGTGTGGTGATGGTGGTGTGCCACTGTGTTTCGAAATGAAATGTACATATGGTGCCACACTTATGTTATATGACCTGGGGCTGGGACACATCCAATACAATCACACCTATGTTTGGATCAATATGAAAATTTTGTATTATTAACACTCTTTGTCCATAATTTTGTTAAGTAATTGGGCTACCAGCTTATAATTAGTTAAACATTAGTACTCTATGTAAAGATTACGCTTCATAATGTCTTATGCATATTATTTACATGCATCACCAATTTTATAGAGAACGCTTATAGTAGATGCTCAACCACGAACCTGCAGGAAACCTTCATGATGAAATATATACCAAATAGTTTTAATATACAGCAATGAAGTGCTGGAAAAACGGCAAACAAATTCATAGCAAAATTTCCAAATTTATACATTGGCCAACTGGAAAATTGCCAATTATGGAAAATTCACTATAAGATCACCATATTTTGGTCCCCTATATTCATCGGTGAATTTCCAAACTTTTTCATAAGTTGGCACTTGAAACAGCTCGTTACAGGAAGTGAATTCAATGCCAATTTGGTGAGGACTAGAAGACTGCATCAACTCATCGTCTTAAAGCTCCATAATTTCTTGTGACCTGAACAAAAAAAAAATTAAAAATTAGGTCGAAAACATATATTAAGTGGTCTAAAACCCTTTTGGTTCTTTAAAGTGAGGGCAAAGGCCATCTAAATCTTCACTACTGTATAAATCTAGCTCAAGGGCAAGGGCCCTTTGAAACACAAGAAATTTCATGCTCAAATACAGCAGGAAACCGAAAGTAGAAAGGCGCAATGAAATTTAAAGAAATTATGTTCAGATGCACAGGTTAGAGCAATGAAAGAAGCCAAAGTCAGATTAATCAATCATACAGCACTCTGACCTTGGGTTGAGACTTGTTGAATCGACTGGGTATGTCATCATCATCATCATCGTCATCATCTTTGCCCATAAGCATCTTTTGAAGTGAAGAGCTCCCCGATTGTTTTCCCCTCTTCGAGGGCTGTGTAGAACCTCTACCCCTTCCTCTTGGTGCAGCTCGTTTGCGACCTTTTCCTTGAAGTTTTTCATCATCACCCTAGCAAGAAAAACAATGGCATTTACTTGAAGACATTGAAACCAAAAGGACAGAGATGTACACAGCTTTGCGCCCCTACCCCTGTAGCAGCAGAAGGGCCTGTATACATTACCCTCAACATGTTCAATGATTGTCACTGTTATATTAACTTTGTTGCTTCTAATAAAATTATGTGTAGTTTCTTTCTTTCAGAAATTATATAATAAAATAATTACCAGGCTTCAAATTCCCCCTCAGAAATTAGTTTCAAGTTATCATGCATACAAAGAGGAGGTCACATACCGAACTGTCAGGAACCTCCTGAACTAAGTACTCCTCTGCTTCATCACTCGAGGCAGAATCAACATTATCATCATCACCAGCAATATTATGAACTGAGGCTGAACCAGCAACCGATGAAGATCTGCAGTTTAGAGAGCTATTAAGAAATCATCAAATCTACAAGAATGTAATTGAGTAGCAACATTTACACTATTAGCTACTTCCTCGGTTTTTTTTTTTTTTAATTACATGCAATACTTTGCCTTTTGCACTTTTCATATACTGCACTTTTATTAGCTTAGATGATTTATATTTAATGAAAAATATAGTTGTGGGATTTGTTAGATTCGTCTCAATTTACATTTTCACAATATTAAAGTTTTGAAATATTCAAAAATACAGACGACTTGAATTTCACTTTAAGAGGAAGTGCATGTCCCAAATTTTCTCTTCCTCTCTATCCCAAATATTTCATTACTTTAAACTATAATCTACCAGGAATCAGTCAATCAGCAACTTCATTGAACTGCAACAAAAGCTTACATAATCCCCACACCTTTTGTCTACATATAAATTTCCAGTCAAGAAACAAGTAAAGGAATATACGAAATGAGATTCTTGATATGCGCTAATGGAGGTAACTGGGTCATCCAACCTTGAGGATGCACACACACACACACACACCTACCAAAAAAGAATTTGAAAACATAGATTCTCACACAGCAAAACAAATACGAAGCATGATAAATATGTCATCCAAACCAACATACATTGGGAAAAGGAGTTAAATTACTTAGGAGCTCCCCATAAAAAATCCAACCATTCTAGGTTAAATATGCAACTTTTGTGTACAATCACGTGAACATACAGAGTATAGCTAGAGGAGACAAACAGGGAATTGATAAAGAAGTAGGCATGAAAAAATCAAACCTTTGAGAACGGCGGAAACCCAAGGATGCATCAAGAGTTGTCTGCTTCATATTGGTGGCATCTTTTCCTTTACCCCTTCCTCTTCCCCTTCCCCTTCCTCTTGTTGAGGTTTTACCAGTTTCAGCAGCATCATGGGAGGAGCCAAGGGCCTTAGTGGTTGCTTTCTTGCCTCGAGCAGTAGATTTCAACCCAGAAAGTTGGGTGGCATCATCATCATCATCACTAAAAGATGCTGTATTTTTTGTTCCTGCCATGCGCTTACCCCGGAACTCCTACAAAGAGAACAGAAAATGCATCATCAACAACCTATAAGATTCATCACAACCACACAAATCCTGTGCCAGCTATTCATCAAATCCAAATACTATCCAAAAATAAGTTCAATGCTCTTAGCTAGATAAGAGCATCATAACAAATATTGAGTCCCTTGTATTATCAGAAGACATCAAGGCAAAGTGGTATATTTGAGCAGTCATTCTGTCAGTTTCAAAGTCTGACTGACTTTAGTTCTAAATTAATGATGCTCTTCTTTTGTTCAACAGATACATAATCCGTTCATCTAATATGTAGCAGATTTCCAGAAATAAGTTCAAGAAAAGGTTTCAGGAATTACATGAATACAGAGCATCGATAACAAACAGAGTTGACTTTAGAAAGAGAACAAACCTCTGATGGAGCACTGAAGGAAATAGTCTCCTTCGGGTGTGTTGCCCTATGTTTAACACGTTCCTTAAGAGAATAAATAAAAGAATAATTAGACTCAAAATTTTGCTGTAGTAATAAAGATAAAGCTTCGGAATATCTTAGATAAAATCTTGCCTCTAAACACTCTCCGACTTTGACAATCAAGTCTTCTTCCTCAAACTTCACTGTGTCTGAGTCTTCAGCAATTTTGCTCTACAGGAAAAGGTATTAAACAAAACAAGGAAAAGTAAAATATCTAAGGCTCATCATCATAAAAAAATCTACACTTGATGAGTAAACAGAGACGAATCTTCTACTGATAACAACTTACATGTGTTTCATCAAGATTGTGTTGCAAGCAAGCATGGAAAGCCAATTTGTCATCTTTACTGACAAAATTATGTAGTGCAATATCCAGATCATTGACAGGAAGGATCTCCATTTTCTGCAAGATAATTAGAAGACAATAAGCAAACTTCAGGCAGTTCATGTAGCTGTTTTCATAATCATGACATACTGACACATTTGATAACAAACTGGTTTAGCAAATATGCATTTGACACACGAAAAGGGAGGAGCAGAGGGGAAATGGAGGCCTGGCCTCCATGGCCCAAATTTGCATCCTTTTATATTTCTAAGTTGGCCTTTATTGCTGTTATTTTATGTGCAAGTATGTTATTTCCGTCTGATATAGACGTTTACCTGGCTAAGGTGGTCACAGGGAAACAGAAAACAATCCTCTTGAATAGACAAGGTTCTGGGACCAAGTCCTTGTACAAGCAATGTTGGTAATGTTTTTTTTTCACTATTTTCTTTTTCTATTCCATTTTCCCACCTATCATTTCCTCGTTTTTTATTTTCCCTATTTTCCCCTACGTTCCCCATTTCTCTTATTTCCTAATCCCTATTTCTTATGCTTACCACTTGTATAAATTCTACCCAGTTTATAATGTCGTGACTGTATTATTATATATTATTAATCCCTCTGCCTTTTTTTTTAAATGCAACCATTGAACATTTGGGGAGAATGGGAGATTTAGTAGATAAAGTTGAATTTGTTAAACAGTAGTATGTGGGTTGAAATGTCCAATGGTTGCATTTAAAAAATTGCAAAATTTTGATATTGTAGTTTGGTAGAATGTGATATTTGTAGATTATGTGAGTTGAAATATCACATTTTAATCTTTGCAGATCGAAATTTTGTAGTTTCATAGAATGTGATATTGGTAGATTAAATTGTAATATTTGTAGAATCAACCACCACCACCGCCCAATACAAAGCCCAGCCAAGTAGGGTGCGAGGAGGTCCAAATTAAGATAACATTTACCAATTACCATAACTAATCCAAACCAATAAAGAAACATGTGAATGAAGTAGAACTGTAGAATTTTTTTTTTTTTTAAAAACACGCGGGGGGTGGGGGGGGTGGATGTAAATCAAACATCTATAATACATACCAAATTACTCTCAGCAACCAAAGCCTCAATATTCTGCTGGTTTAGTTCCTCCGGTCGGAATTTCTCAGAATTGTCAATTTTCCCTAAAATAAGAAAATCAAAGTACACTTATATATAATAAATTGATACACAATAAGGAAATTTGAATGTACTACAGCAAGAATGTAAAAGATTGAATTCAAAAGGGATGTGACAAAAAGCAGCCCCAATACAGACCTGCATTTGGATTAAAAAAACATAAACAGCTATCTAGATCTAAATATACAGAAACCGTCTTATTTCCTATTACTTTTTGGTAGAAGGTAAGCATTCAAAGCAATCTTATCAAAAATGAAAAACATATCAAGGACATGCAGGCAAAACCTGCTATACAGCAGGATAAACTAAAGAGCATATACAAACTTTGAAACCACCAGTCTTTATTAATCCAGTATTTCTGCTGAAGCATGAATATTGAGGCAAGTCACATCATAAAGTGGCTCCCAACAAGAAACATGAATTATGTTCCATGAAATACACCAAAAGATCGTCATAAATTTAGTGCTGCACATGGTGCAAACCCTACTGATCTACATCTCCATATAAAAATAGGCTAACAGCACAGCATCCTCAGAATTTAAATTTCTCCAAAGATATCGAGCCACTTGATATTGAATAATGGCATACAATCAACACCAGACATTAGGAAGGCTGGAACAAACAAAAATCCTATGTAGCCTGGCATATAATTTGTATAAATCTTGCCTAAAGCTAAGGGGAAAAAAAAGGAATTCTACAAAGGCAGAGGTAGGAATGTTAGGTTTATGAGATTGTAAGTACTGCAGCCACCTAGGAATTAATTTCAATCTCTTAAAAACCCACACAAGTCTTGGCTTCCCAAAGGACTTTAAGCACTGATTGCTTCCCATCAGCATTCCCAATGGCACCAAAAATTAAAAGCATTCATAGAAAGTCTCACATTTAAGGATGCTGTTTAAAGGGTATACATTCCAGGATAAAGAAACAGCACAACCATTCATGGAGGTTTCATTCAATAAGAAGTAGCAGGAAAAGAATAGAGTTTTCCACAGCAATTGAGTTTCTGAAACATCCAAATCAGGCTTAGAAAAAAAAAATCTGCCTCGTATACCATGTAACATGAACATGGATGCGGATCCAAGTGTCCAATACAACCTTTTTAAAATAAATGGATATGGTAACACCATCCTTATTTGATACATGTTTGGCAATACGGTATGTATAAAATTTAATAAAAAGTATTCTCTATACAAAAATTAAGGGAAAAATATGGCATTTCTATAAGTGAGTTTCTTAAGTATGGACTCCTAACTTGTAGGAAATTACTCTTTTTTATTGTTCCTTGTTGACTTATAATACTATTAACATACTAATGTATAAAAGCAAAAGTTAGCATGCAACAAATTATTGGATTTGTCTCAACGTAGTCTTGTCAAAATATCAAATTTTTAATAATTTACTTGGAACATAATTAAAGATACAAGTTAAGCATTTGGCGAATGCAAAATTCAATATGGCCATATGGAACGAAATAAAATAAAATAAAAAATGGAGGGACTAGGGAGAATTATTTTTGGCCCAACATAACGACCAAATCAAGAGCATTTGTGATTGGCCATCTGCCTCATACTTCTATTAGTTATACGGTTATACCCATGCAGTCACATGCAAGCAAAGTAAATAGGTTATTGATTTGTCATAGCTTGCCAGCTTTAATTGAGGGGAGAGAGAATATACTCCATTTGCTGCACAAAGACAAGAGAGAGTATATGAATTTATCTGGTTATCTTTTAGTGAATTTTATCAATGATTGATGTACTTTACTTCACATTTAGTTAATTACTATACTATTGTTTTCTTTAGCTTCCAATTCATCTTTTATTTTCTTTACTTCGAATTTTGCTTTCATTTACATATATGTATTGGAGTAGGTTTTTATCTAGGTTTTGATTATGAATTGATGCATGATTTAACCCTAATCCTAAATTATATGATTATGCTTATTTCAATTGTGATTATTATCAATACTAAATTAGGCGTAATTTGATGTTGGTTTTGCACCAAATATCTAATGGAAGTTGGACTTAAACAGTTGCGATTTATTTAGGTAAAATGGATAGTTAGGAAGCTAGGATGCTATGTTATATGTCTCTTAGTTTACATAATTCCAAGGAAGGTATTATTGTATTTTAAACAGACCATATATACTCATGAGAAGTTTATTGGTTATTGGGGGTATCTTTCCTAATCGCAATACAACCAAATTTATAGGGATAGAAAGTATCTTTGTGTTAGACTCATGCTTGCAGGGATACACAACTCTAAATACTTGAATTCTTGTACTAGCTTATTCTTCATACATATCTAACCCAATTTGGTTCTACTATCAATTAAAAGTTGACTATAAAACAACCTTCTCTATGTAGAATCAACCCTAACTTACCCTATTACATAGTTAAAAGGATTAGCAGAGACCATCGATTATATACCAAGTTGCATAATATACACGAAACCACACAGCTATACATAAAATGCATTTCTATACGTACATCTGCATGGCTGTATATAGCGTATAAACCTGTGTATGAAAATGTTAAAGGAGGAAATATGGAGCAACAGGTTCAAGTGAGTAAATGACATGGAGATCCAAGAAAAAACATAAACAACGTTTCCTCAACCTTAGCAATCAAACAAATTAATAAAAATTGTGAACAGCACTGCCTACAGGATTATTTACCTTCACTTCGATTCTTAACCCGTGAAGCCTTTGAGAATATCAGGATATCCTGAGGATTTGCCACCTATTAATTGCAAAGATTATTATTTCGCTAACAATTAGGAGTACAATGTAGCTTGATAGTAGTACAACAACCATGCCAAATAATTTGAATGAGTTTGAAGAGCATTAAGATTATAAAAATAGTCAAATTCCTATCACATAAAAAAAAAAAAAAAAAAAAAAAAAAAAAAAAAGAATATAATTAAATTCAATATCAGTCTTTTTGCATTTAAGTCCCAACTAAAGCAAAGTATTTATCACACAGATGATAATTGCAAGTGTCTTGTAGGTAATAGGGGTGTGAATTAAGGCATAATATAAATGGGATTTCTAACAAAATAATGTGTGAATATCAAGGGACGAATAAAATGGTATACCTTGCCCACATATTTCTGACCAAATCTTTGAGGATTTATTGTCATAAATCCTGAATAATCTACCTATCATCACAAAAGACTGAAATAAGCACAGTATATAAAAGTTTTTGATTGAAAGAATGTGATTCAACAAGAAATAGAAAAGCATGATTAAAAGCAATGAATGATATGAAAAGGAACCTTCAACAAATCCTAATTTCCAACTAAGCTATAATAAGTCCAACATGACTTATAAAAATCAACTGTTTTTCCTTAAACTGCTAGAAAGAAATTTCAGAAAAAAAAGAAAAATGGATGGCAGGACAAAACATGGCAAATCTCAGAACATATTTATTACTACTGGTAAAGATTTCATCTTCAAGGAAAACCGAAATTTGGAACCCTTACGTCTTGCACAATGATTTCAACTGATGGCACCAAATGCAACCTTTGTCCCTCTGCCCCCAATAAGAAGTGTGTCAGTATTTTATGAACTTCATTATTTAGTACAAATTAAATCTTTTAGAGGCAAGTACTTAGTAGGTGGAAAATAATAGGTGGTCAAACACCAACACGATACTTAATAGGAGACTCCACTTATTGATTATAGTCTCCAGATGTTGTTTCAGTTCTAGAATATCATATTTGATTACCCGTCATTGGAGGCTAAAGCTTAAGCTCAATTATAATAATGACAATGTTAGAAAGTTACATATTCATCGAAAGTGCAGCAATTAATATCAATCATTTTTATAAATTAAGCAAGACTAACCTTTACTCGGACCAATGGAAGCTTCACCTCAGCTTTGTTGACCGCTTTTCTGTTAGACTTCTCAATCAGATCTCTGACCTAAGCAATTTAGACTACATTATCTACACTAAAATCAAATTAAGATACTATGAATATGAAGCATCACCACCAGAAACTAACTACGGAGTAGAAACTTTTTGAGATTGGGTATTGAAAGGGTGTGACAGAAACAGATGTAGGGGGGTACTCAACAGACATTAAATTGGAATTATTTTGAATAGAGCTATTTACCACTTTATCCAAGTGCTCAAGAATTGCATTCTGATCACTTTGATCGATATCCGTTACATCTTTTAACACAACCTGAAGATTGAACAACAAAGTGTAAGGGAACTGGGTAATTTTGTCTTTCACCATAATCAGCATTATATAATCTGTAAGTAATTACCTCAGCATATTCAAAAGGCCTCACAGATTGCAGAGGTATTTTGGTTGGGCGATATTGATTTCCCTAAACAAGCACAATAAGTAATCGATATGTAGTTACAGTAGAAAAGGTACAAAAGCTCAATAATAATTTATTGCACCACCTTAATTTCTAAGAGAAGAACATGTTTTGGCTTCGATTCCCCGTCAATTAACGATGTTGCAACAGAAGAACCAGGTTGTGTGATATGAAAACCCATTCCGGAAACTTCCTGTGAAATTAATAGTCCCTCAATTTTAGGAATGAATGATGAAGGTGAGTAGTCGAGAGAATCTAAACTGCACCTGGGGGTCAATTAGGCATTCATGTTCATGCCCCCAAACTACAAAATCAAGAAATCGTGGTAAAAAATGCTCATTTATAGCATTTTTAGGATTTGTTTTTATTCTGCACAAAAGAAAGACCTTGTTAGAAAGCATAAACACTACTGCTAACATCTAAAATCTCATGTTATGAAATCTCCAGCATTTACATTACATCCACATATCTATAGGATGAATAGATAAGGAATTCATTTTGAACAGAAATCGGTAGTGTTAGTACCTATTCTGGTGGAGAACAAGGATATTAAACCAATCTGAAACTTGACATCCTTCTTGTGCTTCAGGGCGCATCCACTGAACAGCATGGGGAGTCTAGGACCAAGAAATCGACAAATTTATATTTAATTAGAAACTCTAACTCAGAACTATACATATAAACTAGATAGAAAGAGAAAGAAAGCACCTGAAACATTCTGTTTAACCTTTCGTCCCGTATATTTCCAAGGCCATATAAAGCCACAGACGTGGAACCCTGCAAAAACATAATCCATCAGTGCAAAGTTGACAATTAAAAAAAACTGAGAAAATTCAAGACTAACCTTCCTGATAAGGATTGGGCAAACAGTAATCTGGCCAACCCCTGATCCTCCAAGATCCATTTTACCAAAATAATTGACAAGATTGCATGCTGAGAAGATATCAACAGCAGATAGATTGTCCTGTTATCAAAATAAAGTAAACCTTCAGCATAGCAGAAAAAAATTACCAGTAAGCATGTAATGATAACCACGTGCTTTCATTGATAAAATCTCTCTACCCAAAAGATTAATAAATAAATTTATATTTAAAAAAATTAAAGAAAAAAACCACTTCAAAAGATTATTTAAACATTGACAATGCCCAGGCAATACAGAAAAAAGAACACCCTCTAGGAAAAAACCTAATCATTGATGTAGCAGAATATACATGTAAATATCTTATTAAATGTTCACATTTAGCAAGGTGGATACCTAGAAGCTATACATAGTTATTTATAGCAAAAGTTGTAGTCTAAACAAATCAGATTTTAAAAACCACTCCCCTTTAGATTCCCACCCTACTGCTATGCATCAGTGTCAAAGGAAGGGGGGCAATTTGGGCAGCAGCATGATGATCCATCATTAATAGCTAAGAAGAAGATAGGTGGTTGAAAGAAGGCACGTTGAATTTTGTAGAGAGTTTTGTTTAGTTTTTAGATAGTTGATTGGGAGGGAGCCAAGCCTCTCAGAAGCTTGAAACTATCCACATTCAGTGCTGCTTTCCAGAAATTAATCAACCAATCCTCGTCATCTTCCTTTAATCTCACATTTCTTCTCTTAATTCTGTCCAAAGCTAAGTCAATTCTTAGCAAAAAGGTCGATAATGCTAAAAGAGGGGAAATTTATGCAGTAGCATAGTAATTCTGTTATTAGTAGCTTGAAGAAGATGATAGTCAATTAGTGTGGGTAAAAGCTCCAAAAATAGAGCAAATCAACGAGGGGGTGTTTAATATTGATTAGTGTTTTGCCAAGCATTTAGGTTGCTAATTTGGGGGAGAGCAAGAGTCTTAAAAGCTTATAATAATCTACATTTACAGCCTCAACCATATGAAAATACCCACCCTTTCCAAATTCCACCAAATAATTGATTCCAGATAATTCTCTTCATCACATTAGTAAAATTTGGAATTCTCTTCATCACAAAAGTAAAATTTAACTTTATGACTAGCAAAAAGCATTTGACATAATGTAGCTATGGTCAGACCATTCACAACCCTCTCATGGAAGGAAATTATTTAGCATGCAACTCCCTTTACATACACCCGGGTGCACATAGTGGTAGGTGCATCCAAGGGTGGTTTTTTGCTCATTTGATTGTTTTTTTTCCTCTCTCATTTTAAGATTATAAAATGAGCAAAATATACCTTAGGGTACACCTTACACCCGGGTGTATATAATTTTTTTATACTACTCTAAGTATAAGGAAGGTATATCAGTTTTAATTATTTAACCCAGAGAATTGAGATTGGTATTACAAGAGCTTCACGAGTACAATTCCTCCGAACATCAGACGAGAGCGTTATGAAATCTAAGAAAATGATCTACCCCTATCAGCCCCAAGCAAAAACTCACGAAAAAAAAAAATATGAATTCAGTGGTTCTTTCCCTATCTCAATAAGTATTTGGTAGTGACGTTCTGAGATAACATAAATAAATCAAACTCCAACTATGGAAAACCCCACATTGGGAGTTTTTGTTGATTAGTGCAACACTTAACCTTAAGACCAGTCCATCTCAAAGCTTGAGTATATAGAAAATAGTTTTATTGAGCACATTCACTAATTACTATCATGACACAGTTGGTCAACTCAATCCCCTTTTCAGTTGCTACTTGCTAGTCAATGCCCAGTATATATTGAGACCAGTACATCAGAAAGAAACAATCAATCACCAGACCTCACATGTATAAATTGAGATAAAAGGAATTAATTTGTCTGGGCTACAGGCCATACCACTCCAGCAGGATCATCATGATTGCCATGAATTGTGAATACAGGCAAGCCAACATTGTAGTGAGGGTCCTCGTAATTTACATGACCAAATCTGTAGAGCAGAACAACACATTAACTATCAGACATACAGGCAAGAGCTCACAGCCCAAAATAATAGTTGAAAAGGGTCCTAAGATTCACAACTGACAAATTGCCATCTATGCCTTCAACTTCAGTACAGCACTCTTATAGACTACAGTCAGTAGCACGTATCAGAAACCTAGAGATGAAATGCTCAAGAGACCAAGATCTCATCACTACCATATTGATAAGTTTTAAATGGTGGAATGTGAATCCCTAACATCATCCAGAATAAATTAGATTGGAATACAACAAAATATATCTTGGGGGATCCCATGCAAATTACAGGGCTTTCCAGGTTGTTCAAATCTCCTTCCTAATGGCTGTGGCCTCAGTTCAAACCAGTCTTTTGATGTGGTGCATATTTCAACCAAATAAAAAATTTTAGAGCCATTGCAAGTAGCACTTCCTAATCAGCGGTCACTTAATTTGATTCTTTCACCGAAACATGCCTCCATCCACCAGGCGTGGTAACAACATTTTCATAATATAGCCTCAATTTCTCTGTCAAAGGATATCTGGAAATCATTAACATTGACTCCAATCCAGAAATAGCCAAAATATGCTTACGTCATCATCGTTTTTCAATGGAACTTTCCACTTATAATTCCAAAATCCAGACTACGATATATCTAAAAAGTTGCTAAGCTAAGACATATTACTAACAATAAGTTCAAATATTATTAGAAAGAATTTCATTTCTTTTTTCATATGCATATAATTCTTTTTTATTTTTAAAAAAAAAATAATAATAAGTTAAGGACAAAGTAGTAGATGCAATTAAACAAAAAAGGTAATCTTCAAGAGAAAACCCACTTCCTTTCCAACACAAACAAGATGAAACAGGATTTTTAGAACAGCAAAGCATGTAAGCAACCACATCTTTGATAAAAACCCAAGTGCAATTCAGGTCCAACATTCATATATAAATGTCAAATCTACAAGTCTCTCAAAGATAACATAGATAAAGATAAGTGCAAAACAAACCTGTTTGAAAAGTTTAAAAGTCTGGTCACTCACAACTTGGAACTGCACTGGACGATCATTGAGGCAGTATTGACGAAGAATCTCCAGAGCCCTTACCAACGTTGACCTTGAAGGTTTGTTCTCGTGAAAGAGATCACCACCAAGAAGTATGAAGTCCACCTAATGGTCAAATTATAGTCACAATAAGTATAACAAAATAATCATTATTTACAACAAAAAGAGACTTATGTCCTCTAGAAGCATGAGAGAAGTATAATTGGCGTAAATCACATTTTGACTACAATATATGACAGGCAAATTACAAGCTTCCAGCAGAAGGAGATAATGGGTGTTGATTTCTTACACAATTCAATATAAAAGTACAGTAATTGGTAGGTACCAGAAATCACCTGCTTTTTCTCTGCTATTGAGCATATCTCCTCAAAAGACTCGAATGAATCATGCCGCCGTATCTCATCCTTCTCCATATAACCAAGGTGGCAATCTGTTGCTACAAGCACTCTTAATGTATCCTTTTCATCCTCCCTGAAAAAAATATCATATATCCCAATCACAAATTCACAACCACAACTCTGATAAGATAACTGCCGTAAAGTGCCAATTTCCAAGAGCACCACTCATACACAACATAAGACCCGAAATAGGACTAATGCATGATGCAAGGCGAGCTAGATGCAATCTCTGATCATATTTTCAATTGATTTTATGATTTACACGCATCACATAGGTCGAAAAGTTCACTTGAGCACGAAATTTCAAAGTATTTAATTTCACAACTCGACATCAAGCTCAAGCTTGAGACAAGGAAACAACAAGCATTTAGATAGACAGAAGCAACTTGATCAAACTCGAAAAAATAAATTGATTTCAGGTGCCGTTGAACAATTAAACTTTTCGCGATTTTATAGTTCAAATAAAGAGCTATAATTTGCTTCTTCTTCCTTCATAATTTTTTCAAGTTTAACAAAATCAACAAAATGAGAAAAACTACATGAATACCCGGCCCGGCGACGGCCACAACAGCAAATATAATTACACCACAAGTCCACAATCAATAAGTAGTCCATACTAACATAATAACATTACCAATTAATCAATTTTAAAATGAGTTCAATTCAATTCAACAATTCATTTTACAATTACTTGAAATTATACGCAATTAAAAAGTAATTAAAATGCAAATTACAAGCCCTAACTAGCATTAAAAAAAAGGTTTAATATTAAGAACTCGTTAGCAAATCAAACACAACTAAGTTAGGAATCAATTAACGAATTCAGATTAAGCATAAATTTTGAAACAATTCTGACGTTGAAGCCTATGTTTTGAAGCAAATTTTGAAATAAATAAATAAAAGTAAATGAAATGTAGGAGAGAGAAAGGAGTGCTAACATAGAAATGGCGCTACTTCTGTGTTCTGCTGATGCTGTGCTGCTTAAGTTAGAGAGAGAGAAAGAGGAGAGAGGAGAGAGGGTTTTATTGAATAATTGTAGAGGTTTACAGAAAGGAAGACGATAGTATGGAAGTGTTAAGAACTTGCTGGCGGGAACAGAATTCTCTTCTAGCTTTTGTCAAGAGAAACCAAGTATAAGAACGGGGTCTCACATTTCAATTTTTTTACACCCTACGGGTACACCGTACACTCACTCGATTTCCTAAAGTTGGAATCAAATACAGACCCCAAATTAACGTGTTTGTAGACTTGTAGTATTATAGGGTATATTTTGATGAATTGAATTGGACTGATTATAAGAGCACTCACACTAGTGAATAAAAAAAAATTGTTCATTCTCTCTCTAGCCACTTTCTCTCTCTTGTCAACCATGAGCATTTTTTGTGAGCAAATTTTATTCCACTAGTGAGAAAAAAAAAATGTTCATCGATCTCTTTCCTACTTAATTATACTATTATTTAACTTAATACAATTATTAAATATTAATTAATAATATTGAAATTTTAATCGCTAAACAATTATAAATTATAAATCTCACTAGAATTGGGAGTAAGAATAATATAGAGTGTTTTTGTGATTTTTGAAATTATACCAAAATATGTCAAAATGGATCTCTATTTGTATAGAAAAAATAAATTATAACCGTGGATGATTTATTTTTTAAAATTTTAAATCGGCCAAAATAGTCGTTTTAAATTAATTGCTGTTTAAAAACGGTAATATTTGCTCATTGGAGGAAGAAGCTAACAGGGACATTGGAGAGTTGCTGGGCCCCGCGTAGTTACTGTTCGTCTTCAAATTTGCTCATAGGATGAGCAAAATCAGAAATGCTCATGAGCATTTTTCAATATGCTCATTGATGGGGAACCATTTTTAACAAATTTGCTCACCATTTTTGCTCATGAGCAAAAAAATGCTCACTGATGTGAGTGCTCTAAGAGAAGAAAATTAAGAACTAAACTAAATTGAACCGAAGTGAAATTAAGCCGAAGACAACATGTTAGTCACAAAAATTATGTGACTTTTTAACTTGTGACAAGTGTCACCTTTTAACTTGTGCTTTTTGTTTTCTGAAATCAAAAATTAATTTATTATCGTTGTTTTGCCATTTTCTGTCAAACAGTCACTTTCTGTTTTTTTTTTCCTTTTCTTGTTTACTTTTTGGCTCGTGGGACGAGGTGTGCTTTCCTTTCCACAGAAAGGAAACAGTGGTTTCCTAATGATGACAAGATCCTTTTAGCAATGTTGACATCAATAAGGAAGTTGAAAATGAAGGAAAATGACACCTAAAAAAATTATAATCCTTGTGCTCTTAGAGCATCAGCAATGAAGAGTATGCAACAAGATAACTTGTGCAAAAAATACGTGACCACTCTCGTTGTGACAAATGTCACAAGATAACTTGTGCATGTTTGCCATTTGACCATTGGTTTTTGACGTTGATTTGGCATTTTGCCTCCAACGGACACTTTTCCCTTTTTTTTTTCTTTTTCTGTTGTTTGCTTTTGCTTGCTTTTGCACACGGGACGAGACATTGTTTCCTTTCCACATAAAGGAAATGCTAGTTTACTGCCCAATAGAGGATCTTTTTAGCTACTTCAGCATTCAAGAGGAATCTAAAAAGTACAAAAAAAGGATGGCTAAAAGGAGAGTAATCCTCTCCACTGTTGATGCTCTTAGAGCATCATTAGTGTTGGGGATACTTATATCCTTTCCCGGTTTCTCTCTCCTTTCCTACACTTGACACATCACTTTCTCTTTCCTCCACATCACTTCCCACTATTTCTATCCTTTTACTCATCCTTTCCGTTAAAAATTTCCAACATCAATGAATATCCTTTCCCACTTTCTCTCTCCTACTTACATATACATATACCCCACCATTTATTCCTTTTTCAAATTACGTATATTTATTAATATATTTAATTATTATTATTGTTGAAAATGTTGTTAATAATAATTAATAATAGATCGTTCTATTAACCGACACATTAATTAAACGAGACGAATTCAAAAACATAAAATTCATTGATTAAAAACATGAAATACATTGATTAAACGACGCGAATAAAAAAAAACATGAATTACGTTGATAAAAATAGCAAAGAAAATAACAAACATAAGTTTAAAAATAACTGAAATGTTTAATTTTCATCGGACCTCATAGACTGTGCCCATAAATGCTCGATCAAGTCGTTCTTCAAAGCCATATGGACGTCTCTATCACGAATTTCCCCTCTCGAAGCTATCAATCTACCGAAATTATCTGGATCATACTATCCGGGAGTTACGGTGAATGTTGTTGCATTCCTAGTTGAGGACGACCCCGGCATATTCTCAGGCTGTTCATCGGCAAACTCGAGTGGATCCTTATCATTTAAATATGTATCACGCTCGTCTTCAACAATCATGTTGTGGATAATGATGCAAGTCATCATAATTTTCCACAACAGATCTACACTCCATGCCAAAGCAGGCTTCCTGATTATTGCGAAACGAGCTTGTAACACACCAAAAGCACGCTCAACATCCTTTCTCGCACTCTCTTGACGTTCAGTAAATAACGTATTGGTGGAATATTATTGAAATTTATTGGTCTTGGTTGACTACTACACCATTGAAAAAATGCAGCTTGAATTTGAGGATTACTCAACAGATTAGGGTCAACAGGAGGATTAGATTGGTTAAATTGAAAGTTTGAATTGTTAGGAAAATTCGGGTTACCACCGTAATTAGAATTATTACGATCCATATTGAAGACTCTAAGAAATTGGAAGTGAACTGGAGAAAAATAAACTTGAAAATATGGAGATTAGAATAATTTTGTGTTTAAGAGTATTGTACAAGTGAAACTGAAATTTTGTGAAAATATAGCAAATTTATACTCATTTTATAGACAAAAAAATTTTATGACCGTTGGTGTTTTCGGATTTCAAAAATAAGTTATTGTTTGCAAATTATAGCCGTTATAATATTTTGGAGAAAAAAAAAATCAAAGCCAATAAGATGCTGCCACTTGTCGGAATGAAGTATGACCAAAAATTGAAAAAAAAAAGGAACTAGCCGTTGGAGATTGCAGCACGCGTGAGTTTTTGTATATTTTAATGTGTAATTTTGCACAAGGGACGAGGTAAGCTTCCTTTTACCAGAAAGGAAATGGGTCATTTCCCAACACACAACATTCATCAGGATTGACTAAAGGGTCCTAAAAGGATTGGGAAAGGTCCCGATGCTGCTGCTCTTACTCTTAGTCCCCTTAATTATTGAGTGAGGCAATGACCCCTTAGCCACCAAGGAGTGCTACAAATACTTTAAGGACATTGCCTAGTCATCAATTGTTGAGAAACCAGCAAGGCAACAATGCATACTTATTACTTAACAATAGTTGAAAGGCTTGGTCTCCTTAGTCATTAAAACTTATAAAAATGTTTTTGATTAATTATATGAAAAGAGAGCTGACAAACTAAATTAGCTAATAGTTTAGGGACTTTGCATTTAATGTATCAACATGTTTATACAACAAATTATCCAAAAATTCGTTTAGTAAATAGCTATTACGGAGTACAAATTAAAATTTGGCTATACATTATTGTATGTTTTTCAGATTGTTGTTGATCATCCAAAATTTCATATGCTCAAAAAAATTGTTGCATCCTTGAAGGTGCATTAGGAACTAAAATAACTAAAATACCAGGTACCTACACATATAATTATCTCAATTAGGAGCTATTATATGAATGGACTATTTTTGCAATTATGGTAGCTTCATTTTGTTCCATCTTCCATATGTTATTAAAAAGCATGAAAAGTAACTATATTTGCAGTTACAATTAATGGTGTCAACTACAACAAAAAAATCCACATCAAAACTCTAAAAAGTTAATAACATACCTCACAAAAGCTCATACGATTGTTCAAAAAAACATCATACATAAGCATAATTTAAGTAAATCAACACCAAAAAATTTCACATCAAGTATTAAGACAAATAAGTACTTCATGCTTCCTTTTTATTTATTTATTTTGTTTTTATCTTGTGTGTTCATATTATCAACCTTTCATATCTTTGATTATCCATTTGCATTGAGACGAATCTAACAAGATCTCATAAAACTACATTTATACAAACTCTTAAATAGTTTTGACTCGCATTAATTTATTGTGGACCACTAATATTAAAGATACTATGACGATTTATTAATAATAAAAAAAAGTCACTATAATAAAATAAAGGTTATTGTATTAAAATAAAAGTCATTGTGTTATTGTAAAGATCATAAAAGGTTAAATTTTTTTAAATGAAAATTTTAATATATTGGTCAATATGAATAAAATAAAGGTAACTATATTAAAATTTGGGCCATTATGTTCAACATAACGACGTACGTCAGATTCATAATATTATCAATGGTCATATAAGTTTTAATAATTGTTACAGTACTATGTTAAAAATTAAGGTTATTATGTTAAAATCATGGAACTATGTTCAAAATACAGTCAGTTGGACGCATATGGATCTCAGATTCACAATAGTATTATTGTAAACCAAGTCCATACTAAGTTTTTTCCCTGTATTTATAGGGTAAATCACAAAATGTAATTAAAGTGGAATATATGAATAATGTATACTACTAAGGGCCTGTTCTCATTGACTGAACTGAGCTGAACTGAGCTGAAATAATATTTTATAAGAGAAGGAAATTAAGAGCTGAGCTGAACTGAAATAATATTTTATAAGAGAAGGAAATTAGGAGCTGAGCTGAGCTGAATTTCAACGTAAGAGAACAGACCCTAAAATTGCAAGCAAGACTGGTTTTGAATTCAACGATGATTTAGGTTACATTCTTAACTCCTCCTATCTTCCAAGAGACCAGACACATGTGATCCTGCAAATCTACGTTATTTGCCAGTACTTCTCTTCTTTATTCTAACTTTCCTCCGAAGATCTTCTTTCCTACTGCTTCACACTCCATCATACTTTGTACGAAGTACTTCGTATTTTGTATTCTGCATCTCCTTGAATCCGGTTAACGAATGGTTAACATGACACAAGCTTCAGAAAATTGATGACTAGCAAACTTGTTCTGCTTGACAATGGTTGTTGACTTGTACTGATTTGCGATGAAGTCATTTGCAGTGATAACCACTTATGTCAGCCCATAACACGAGAGCCACAACTTCTTGTGCAGAAGACAGACAAACAATAATGGTACATTGTACATCCAAAGTACGGAGTACTTTGAGAACAAAAAACAACACCAAACTAACATATGTAGAATACAAGTAAAAACACCTTGAATCAGAATCAATGTTGTCTTATTTCAAAGGTAACAGCCACGAACAAAGCATCATCATTAGAAACAAACAAACCAACAAATTCCACAATGTACACCTAAATTACACCTAAACACACACAAAGCCTTCTCCTCAATCCCCTCTTTATCTTATCTCTACCCAAATTACCACTTCACACACTAAACACCACCAATGGTTGGTCACAAGCACGTCAACGTACAAACCTGAACAAAGTCCTAAAAAACCAGGAGGTTAAATGCTACAAGTCTGATTTTTGCTACAAGCTAATGCTATTTCTTTTCATCCTTGTGCTGAAACCCCTGCACCCCCTATTTGAGGCTTCACCTTCGGAGGCCTACCTCTCGGTCTTCCAGATTTTGCGTTTGATCCAATACTAAGGTTGGCATCAAAGCTGTTGGATGTAGAGACTTTCACCTTCTTCAAGGGAGCATTAGCAGCAGCAGGATCAAGAATATCAGCACCAAATTCATCCTTCTTGGGTCGGCCTCTTGGCCGAGCTGGTCCAGCAGGAGTTGTTGGCATGCCAGGTTCCTTGGGCTTTGGAGGCCTTCCACGACCACGACGGATGAAGTTGGGATCAGGCTTCATATAATTATTCTTCCAAAAAATAAGTTCTCCAGTCTCTTTCATCCTGTTCAAGTGGTGCCTTAGCAGTGTTGAGTGGCCAGCAGGCAGGTTCTGGTACTTAGATTCAATGAATTTCGAAATTGAAGTTTTGTTTGAACCCAATTTCTCATTTAATGCATCTATGGCAGCAATAATCATCTGCGCATAAGAACTGAAAACTATTAAAACTTCTACCACCACAGAACTTCAAAAGATGGTACATTGAAGTGCTGTTCAAGAAGCAAAGCAAAATGCAATTTATCAATCAAGCATCTTTTAATAACACTAGTGTTTAGCAGATCACCACCCCCGCCCTTCCCCATTCCACTCTACCCCTAAGAGATAAATGGCAAGGATCTTGTATTAATCACATCTACGTTTTTCAAAAATTATGCTAAGCCTAAACAGCCCCATTACTACTCATAAGAGGAAATGCGATAACAGAGATTGTCAATGTTAAGCAAAGTCAAAGCTATACAAGAACAGAACAGAACCAAGCAACTATCCATTAACTGTGTAAGCTTTACATTGAGCACTTAAAATTCTATCAGCACCACCAGTCTATAAAAGCAGAAACTGACACGCAGATACGATTAATGGAGAGGGATCATGTGATAGTGAAACTGTTAGAACATACCAGAATATGCTAGAACATATCAGAATGTATTAGATTTTTCTATAATACTCTTGTAAAATATTTACCTTCCTTCTTTAGGCAGATTGTGTGAAATTACTCCATGATTTTAGGAGTAATTATAGGGAGTGATTTATGCCGTTTAAGGCAAGAGGAACTAATATATAATGCTGTAATCAGTTCACCAATATAAGCAAGCAGAAAAATTAAAAACACCCAAAAACAGCCTAAATTATCTCTTTAATTTTTAACTTGGTATCAGAGCCAGGTTCCGATCACCGGCGACCGGCAACCGATAGCTTCATCATATACCATGGACACCGAGGAGCAAGCCGTGGTTCCAAAGCCTGTAACCATGGAAGATCTGTTGCAACTTTTCACACAGTTAAACACCAACAGAACGTCCATAGAAAATCAAAATCAAACAGTCCAAATCTCTGAAAAATTAAACCACAACAATTATACAAAGTGGTCAAAAATAATGCAGCTAGTCCTTGACGGCAGGGGGAGGCTCAATCACATCACTGCCTCCCCTCCACCAACAACCGACCCAGACTACGTGAAGTGGCGACAGAGGGACTCAGGGGTCATAGCATTAATAATCGAGAGCATTGATCCCGATTTACAGAATCAATTCCTCGATTATACAACAGCTTATGAACTATGGAAAGGCATAGAAACAATGTATGGCAGTGGCAGGGATGGTCTACAAATTTTTGACCTCACCGTCAAAGCTAACAAACTGCAACAAGGGACAGATCAGATTGAAGCATACTACAGCAAACTAGTTTCAATCTGGAAAGAAATTGACAGAAGGCAACCAAACCCCATGGAGTCTCCCGGAGATAAAACAAAATATAATCAAATCATTCAACAAAACCGACTATACCAATTTTTGGCAGGATTAGATGAATCCTTGGACAAAGACCGACGAGATCTCCTCCATCGAGAGCCCCTACCCACCGTGGAAGAAGCATACTCAACCATCCGAAGAGAAATCGCTCGCCGGAATATTATGAAGACCACACCAAATCCCTCGTCAAACCACTCATCGGGAATTGGTGGTGGTTTCGCTGCCAAAGGAAGAACCGAGAGACCGAACTTCCGGCAGGAAGATGAGAAGGCAAAACTCCGGTGTAGTCATTGCGGTGGGTCGAGGCATACGAAGGAAGGGTGCTTCAAATTGGTGGGCTACCCTGACTGGTGGGCAGATCGGAAAAAGAAGGGAGGAAAGGCGAGCTCAGGCAAGGCAGCCTACACCTCCGGTGAAGCAGCCACTGAAGGAGAGGAGACAGCCACCGCGGCGGCCGTGACCTCTTCAACCTCAGGACAGAACATGGAAGGTATGGCTCTTGATCCTTCTTCTCCATATGACAGATATTTTAGAGATATACCTCTTGAAAATAGGTTTGATTGTTTATCTGAGAATCTTATGTAGCAAAACCTTTGATAAAACCAGCAGAAATGGCGAATAAGAACCATCTCAAGTCACATTTGATAAAACTGGATAATAATAAAAGCCCATCAAACCAAAAAACCCCCAAGCCCGTTATCACAATACATAAACCCATTATCACAAAAAAGACTCCTTGGGCCGAAATTAATAAACTTGTAGGTGGAAATCTAGTCTCCTGGAAAAGCAAGTTACAAAAAGTGGTTGCCATGTCTAGCGCTGAAGCAGAATTTAGAGGGATTGCTAAGGGAATCACTGAAGTTCTATGGCTCAGAAGACTGCTGACTGAACTTGGGCATGCTCCTAAAAGAAGTTGTAAGTTATATTGTGATAATAAGGCAGCCATACGAATATCTGAAAACCCAGTTCAGCATGATCGCACAAAGCATGTGGAGATCGATAGACATTTTATTAAAGATCACTTGGACGAAAAGATAATAAGCCTGCCATTTATCCGATCAGAAGACCAGTTAGCAGATATCCTCACCAAAGCTGTGACTACACAAGCTTTTAAAGAAGCTTTACGCAAGTTGGGTGTTGGAGATCCCACGACCCAACTTGAGGGGGAGTGTTAGAACATACCAGAATATGCTAGAACATATCAGAATGTATCAGATTTTTCTATAATACTCTGTAAAATATTTACCTTCCTTCTTTAGGCAGATTGTGTGAAATTACTCCATGATTTTAGGAGTAATTATAGGGAGTGATTTATGCCGTTTAAGGCAAGAGGAACTAATATATAATGCTGTAATCAGTTCACCAATATAAGCAAGCAGAAAAATTAAAAACACCCAAAAACAGCCTAAATTATCTCTTTAATTTTTAACTGAAACAGATGTTTTTTTTATGGAATAATCTAAAGCTCAACCAGCGATAATTTAGGCTGAAACGACTTCCGTTAGTAGGAAATCAAATGTATCATAAATCAATTTAAAATTGCGGATACATATATATAGATTAGGATACTAGAAACACAGCAAAAGTCACATGACTAGAAAATGGATATATACAACAAACTTCACTCAACGGAATATTTGAGGCACAGAAAAAACTTCATCCAGAAAACTGCCATAACTGAGGATAGAGAGGCTACCTTCGTGCCCTTATAGTTGGAAAGACTGGAAGTTTCTCAGAGCATGAAATTATTTTTAATTGAATAATTTTCCTATAATACCTAGGATATACTCCCCCCAAAGTCAACAGCTGGCAAACTAAAGGAGAGAAAGACTGGTGCAGAAAGGAATATCCCAAGATAGTTTAAAGCCTTTTCCAAAATCCTAAACTAGTAACTTCCGGCATAGCATGACTCTTCTTCTAATCCAGGGGAAATTCGTATAATGGAAAGCCCTTTACATGTCACGGGAGCAAGATCAATAGCAACCATCACCTATCATATATGACAATAATAAAAGCACCTATACGAATTCAAACACACTCATAAAGTCATGCTTATAGAGATAACTCCATACATCATACAAACATCTTTACACTGCCATTAAATACAATAGACCACTATGATTTAGAAGTCTCCGACCCAATCTTGGCTCAATACCTCTCACATGCCACTGAGGCCAATAGGCCATCACATTTTTAAAACCATCTTCTATCCCTATAAGTTTTTTCTCCTATATAGGCACAAAACTTGATGCAAAATCTAAGTCTTGACAATACAGGCCTGGCCAATAACGATTGGCTTGCTAGCAAACATGGCATGGAAATAGCATATGAAAGGTAAAATTTTAACTATTCATATATGCTACAAAATCAGCATATTTCAAATCCGTCCCTAAAAGATCATGGGAAATCTTCCAAAAGTACACCCACCTATTCCAAATATATGATGCATCTTGTCGAACTACGAAACACCAAGTCTAATGTATAGTGTACTCAGCCAAAAACAATCCATCTTTGCATCATAATCTTCCCAAGTTCCTTGACTTCCTACATATCCTTTTTACACAGCCAACTATCAAATTTCAAGTGCTACCTAAGAATCCTCATAATATTCTCTTTACCCACCAAAACTTACACTTTATGAGTTAATTCATCTGTTTGCCACAGTCAACTCCCCATCAAGCATAAATTTCACATTACTTGTCCATCAAATAAGTAACTTTAACATGACAACTACATTTTTTTCAGCACTTTCCCATGATATTAATACAGTTGAGCATTTAATTTACATGAGCCAGACTAAAGTAGTTCCATGATTCATTCATGTAATCAACACATTCAAATTAGCAGTTTAACTAAAACCAAAACCGGATCCGACCCAACTCATGATCACCTCTATTTCACCCAAATCTTAAATCACAACAACCAAAAGTATAATCATAATAATTTTTTATTTAGCTAAAAAATTAAAAAATTTGAAAAAGCAGCTAAATTTGCTGGAAAGGACAATGCAAAAACTCAAAGACAGTTATAAAAAATTAACCAAAACCATGAAAGCTTGAGCCTTTTTTGGTAACACACAGCTGGCAACCACACAATACAGATAATAAAATAAGCAATTCATGTAAAATAAAATAATAAAAGGAAAAAAAAAAAAAAAAAAAGAAGTGGCAATCACTCAGTGGGTAAAAAAAAAAGAAAAATAAATGCTTTAAACAAAAAAGGCAAATTCATCAGTAGAAATGTAGAATAATATAATACTATAAACCCTAACAACAACTGCATTATTATCACCCACAAATTCCCATCATTTTTGTCAAACCAAAACACAAATTTTCTTCATATTTCCTCCTAATCTATAGAAATTAAGCCATAACATAGCTAAAACAACAATAAATCAGATATGTTATCGATGATTTATCATGGGTGTCAATTAACTTAGCTGGTAAAGTCTCGAGAAGTGATACCCAAAACCCGATATTAGATCAAATCTCGTCTATATCATTTACCCTTTATGGGTTACGACTCGATAATAAAATAAGAGAGAGATAAGATGAATACCTCAGGATAGGGAGGATTAGAGCGATGTTTATTGAAATCATAGTGAGAAGCCATTGAAGTAAGTTGTTGTTTTTGGTGGGTTGATGTTGTTGTTTGAGGGAGGGACAAAGAAAGACCCCACCACCCCTCACTCCAATTTAGAGAGAGAAAATGAAAGAGAATTTAGAGAGAGAAAGAAACGTTTTTGTGTGATGAGATGAGTGGTGAAACAAATGAGAAAGATGGAGAAAGTAGTGTAGTGTGATTTAAAGAGGGATAATAAATTAAATTAAATTAAAATGAAAGATAAAGGAGTTTTTTTTTAATTTATATATTGTTTTTTTTTTTATACAATGTTTTGGATTTGAGGATCAACGGCTAAAAATGGATAGAAGGATGTAATCCAAGGGTTGGTGTTTTAGTTGAGGAAGTGTTGTTTTGGATTGGTGACGTGGCAGTTTGGAATTTGGACTCACTTGGGTGTTTTTTTTTTTTTTTTTTATAAGACACTTGGGTTGTTTTTTAATGAAAAGAGAAAAGAGAAAGAAAACAACGGTGGCTTTAGAATTTTATTTGGTGGAGGTCATCTAACTTTCTTGTTGTCATCACAATGGTATGGCTTAATATATTTGAGGTTATAAACTTATAATGGCCCTTCTCTAGAGTTTTTTTCCCTACACTTGTTATTTTTTTTTCTTATTATAATTTGGTTTGTATTTTTGTGGGTGGAGGACTAGGGATGATCATCATGGAGGCATGGGCTAACATTTATTTTAGTTCTTCAAAAAAAAAAACATTTATTTTAGATAGGTTAGTTTGTATCTCAAATAAACTGACCTAATTTGAAGTGATCCGATCAAAATTAATTTGTCATAAACACAATAATAAGGTATACTTAAATTTAAAATGGTATGACCCAATTAGACCTACTTAAACTCAACTGATGACCTAATTTGACAAATTCGAGATAAGATTATTATCAAATATAAATTTCCATAAATTTCCACGTTATTTTCGTAATGAAGAAACAAGAAGTTTCATATCCGCATATTCAAGTCAATGCCATTGCCCATTGGCAAAGTGAGATAGTGGTCATCAAATAAAATAGTCATGTGATCTAGTTAGATCTGTCTAGATTTTATACTACCGTATTAGCCAAACCCTTTTATCTTTTTTTTTTAAAGTAACTACAAGTTGGTAACATAACTGCATAATGTCTAAAAATATTAAGGATTTTTCTAAGATATGCCCCCCCCCCAAATTATTAAATGTCTAAGTTATACCCATGCTTTTTCAAAGTTATAAGTTATGTCTTCCATCTCACGATATTTTATCAACAAAATATCCTTTGATAGTCATATCCGTTAACGAACGTTAAGTGGCGTTATTAATTTGACACGTGTCCTTTTTTAATTGGTCTAACACTTACAAAAATTAAAAAGTCAGAAAATAAAATTAAGAATTAATTAGTAAAAAAAAAACCAACCACCCCTCCCACCACCACAACCCAGCCCATCAGCTCTTGTCGTCGCCGCGCGCCGACAATCGACTGCCCACCCTCGCCCAGACAATTCCTCCCATCGGCGAGCCCCCGCCCTCTTTCCTTTCTTAACACTCCATGAACACAACTACATGATGCAACTCAGCCCGGAAAACCGACCACCCTTTTCCTCCATTAAACCACCACAAACACAACCAACAACCCCTTCCCTCACCTCGAAACGACCCTCCCTCGCCGTTTTGGGGTATGATTGGGGGTCGTTTCAGGTGTGGGGGGGGGGGGCGAGGAAGGATAAGCGTTGTCGGGTGGTTGGGGTTTCGAGAAAGAAGGTAAATGCAATGGGGGTTAAAGGAAGGGATCGAGGTCGGTCAGATGGGGAGGTAAAGTACCGACCGATCGGTTAAGGTGGAGTGTCGGCCGATTTTCCGGCAAGTTTAGGGGAGGGGTTAGGGTGTGGCGGTGGGGGGAAGGTGGCTGGGGAATTTTTTTTATGGTTTTTTTTTTTAATTAAATGATTTTAGTAACACCACTTAACATTCTCTAAAGTCCGAACTATTGTGTCTGACATAGGTTATTGTTGATAAAATAATGTGAGGTGGAGGGTATAACTTTGAAAAAGCATGGGTACAACTTAGAAATTCAATAACTTGAAGGGCATAGCTGAGAAAATTCCAAATATTAATTATTAATTATTAGTCATAGTAGTTATTTTGTTTACGGTAAGATACGAGGAGGCCCTAGCTTCCTATTTCCTATCACAACAGGGAGGTGAGGATCGAACTCCCGACATTATGGGAGGAAATGGAGGGACTAACCATCATGCACTCCTTGATCCTCTACTTATAATAGTTTTTAGTTACTTGATTAATTATTAAAAAAATGAAGTGCTTTCAATATTTAGTCCAGTTAAATTACTAGTTATACGAGTCAAGATTTAAGTAATATGGCTCGTTAGTTCTGCCTGATTTAGGTTGAACAGATCACAGGTTGCATGTAAATGATTATTATTAAATGGGTCACGAGTAGTAAATGTTCGGGTCAAATAGGTTGAAACGAATCAGGTCATTTATATCTATTTATACTTAGTATTTAAAAACACAAATTACATATTTTTTACATGATACATGTCATCACAAGTCACTCATTACCCCATATGCCACATGTCACCTCCCTTAATTTTTTTGTTCAAGTTTTTATGCATTCTATAACTTCGAAATTCAAGAAAGAAAATGAAGTGTTTCATATCCACCATAATTAGTACATATTACATAAAACATATGAATTATAATCAAAATTGTGTTTTCATCTCCTGCACTTAAACTAATACGTCATTTCATATTCCACAACCTTCATGTATATATACCTAATCCTTCTTCTTCTTTCAAAGTTCTACTCTAACCAATTATTATTATTATTTTTTTAAGTTTTAGCAATGAAACAATTACTTCGTATACTATACCAAAAGTTTCAACTTATGAAAAGTATACCTTTATTTGAAAATAATTTATCCAAGTAACAACCCGTGCATCGAACGGATCAAAAGGATAGTTATTATTAAAACTCATAGGAACAACCTGCTAACGCCACGTGTCACCCTTAATTATTATTTAGTGCCACATGTGCGCCATGTATCATCCTATGTGTATCATTTTTTTCTCACTACATTGAATTTTGTAGTAATGTGTAGTTAATTAATATTACTCTATAACTTTTTTTTTAGGAATATTACTCTATAACTTTAATTCTCTATAATAATATTTAATTTCCATGAAAAACTTTTCATATGTATAACCTCCATATTTAAATTTGACATGAATATATTTTAAATATATATATTAATAAAAGATAATATAGATTATTATATTTTTCATCACTCACTTTATTATAATCTGTATTGTTTAACATTAACTGTTTTAAGTAATTTTGATCAAACTTAATTATAAAATACATGTACCGGGGCATCGCCCGGGCCAATAACTAGTTAATAGGTTATAAAGTGTTTGGTTTGATTTGAATCTGAATTGGATTTGAACGAATTGGTTTGATACCGAGTACAAGTCTTTTACGGGTCAATACTATTCTATTTAGTCTTTTTTGGCCCAATACTGATTGCTCAGTAGAATTCAATCTCATATTAAATAATAGACAAAAGCTAATGAGCGTCCCCGAGGCGTTAGATAAGAGAATTAAAGTGCAAATATTAGAGTAAAACTAACATTAATTACACCGAATGACGCGTGATTTTGTCATGAATTCCCAACTTAATACCATTTCAACCAATATAATTTATCCTTATCTAACGCCCCGGGGCGTTCGTTAGCAAGATCGATAATAATATTGTGTTGTAATAAGTGGTTCGGTTCCATTTTGATTGGTCAACAGGCAATTTCACGGTCCACGCTTAAAATTATTGATGCTAATTAAAGTTCGAGTAATATGGGAAGAAAGTAATTATTAGCAGGCTAACAGTTAGGCTCTATTCATTTTACCTTAAAAATATTAGCCAGTAAAAATATTATCAGTTTAGTAAAAAAAATATTTCAATTCAGCTAAAATAATTTCAACTCTGTTAAAATAAGTTTAGTTCGGTAAAAATAAGTAACTTTAAAGTAGAATTATAACAAAGGAGCAGTAAAAATAATTCCACTTCAGTAAAAATAATTTCAATTCAGTAAAAATAATTTCAATTAAGCAAAAATAAGGTGAAATGAACATGACTTTGATTAATATGAAAATCCTAAACTTGTACTCTCTCCGTTTTTAAATACTTGCTCCATTTTTATTTTTTACACTATTCATTTGTCCTACTTTGACTAATGTTTGTGATTTATACATGAGAAAAAATATAGTCTTGTGGGTACTTGTTGGAATCATCTCAATGAATAGATTATTAATTTTCAATTGTTAGAATTTATACAAATTGATAATTAAAGATAGTAGTGATCAAAGATTAGCATCGACATGCGTATCCAAAAAAAATGGAGCAAGTATTTAAAAATGGAGGGAATACTGGATTCAAATAGTTTTGTCCAGTCACCTTTAGTAATAGGTCCAGAGATTAAAAATTAGGTGCATGAGATTCTTTTTGGGCCACTTGATTGTGCCTCTTATTATAATTCCCATGTTTCATATGCCATGTTTCTAAGATAGTGTGGCGCAAATTTTAAGATGCACCATGGAAATAGGTGCATCACGCCTATACTTTTGAACATTTAGTAAAAAAATATGAACAATTGCAAATTTTGAACATGTAGTAAAAATATCTGAACATTGCAAATTTTGAACATTTAGTTAAAAAAATCTGAACAATCACGAATTTGAACATTTAGTAAAAAAATCTGAACATCGCAAATTTTGAACATTTAGTAAAAAAAAAATCTGAACAATCGCAATGCACCACACATATACTTTTGAACATTTAGTAAAAAAATATGAACAATAACAAATCTTGAACCTTTAGTAAAAAAATATGAACAATCACAAATTTTGAATTATTGCAAGTCAAACAAATTTTGAAAGAAGTTTGTCTGACTCGTAATAATTCAATAGTTTTGTAATATAAACTGAACATTTACTGTATACAAAATGAACATTTTTGTATAAAATATGAACATAAAAATTGCATGTTTATGTTCATTTTTTGTGACGTGTTCATATTTTTTTTACTAGATGTTCATATTTTTGTAAAATGTTCAAATTTTTTTCACTAAATGTTCAAAAGTATAGGAGTGGTGCACCTATTTCTAGGTGCATGGTGCACATAATACTAATTGATAGTATGGTCCATCCAAAACATAGTTTGTTGGGCCAAGGCCTGTGCCCTATTGGCATGCAATCTATACTAGGCTTAGTTTTTGCTCTCATTCCAAGAAGTGAGGCCGAATAGCCTACTATTATCATTTCTTGGCCTGCCTTAGTTCATGGAAACCTCATACTAATTAAAGTTCGAGTGTTATTGTTGTTTGATTGTTAATTACTTTCT